CGGCCCTGTGCACAACGCTGAAAATGAAAAATATAAATTTTGAATGAGTGGTATCTATGGCAACCAATGACAATGGCCACCTAAATCGTTGCGAGACTTTTGTTAACTTTGACGATAAATTTTTGAGATATTTTTATGAATGAAATACTACGAGATCCATTTGGATTTATTCTAAGATATATTTGGAGTCTGAGGTAAACTCTTTTATTAAATATTTTCGATTAATCGTCTAATAAGTGTCCAATCTCAAGTTGACAGATGCCTGACAGCAAAGTATGTGACCATGGTCATTTGTTGCCGTGGATATTACTCATTCAAAATTCATACTTTTTGCTTTCAGAGTTGTGTAGTTCTCACTTTAAATTAAAATATCTTTAAAACGGTCCATTTTAGGGGTATTAAAGGTTATGCGTTTTTTATTCAAAATTGATTACTTTATTGTTTTGAGGAATAAAAAATTAATGTTAAGAGGCCAAAAAAATATAAAAACAGAAAATGTGACCTGCAACTGCTGGAACCGGTTTAAGTGATTATAAGTTTAAAAAGTATGTTCTCGCAAGTAACTATTCCAAATTTTATAAAGTTTAGTCAAATGGTTCCGAAGTTATTAAAAAAAAACAAATTTCCATACCCAAATTCCAAGGGCTGTAAAATTCTTATCAGTCTACTGATACTACCTATCTCTATAGGACACGAGTTTTTATAAAAATTAACATCATTTTAGAGGTCGTTTTTGAGATTCAAATATTGCTTCATATTTATAAATAACTCTATATTTCAGAAAACTTTAATTGTAATTTAGATTAGGCAATTGTATTTCAGGAAGTATTAATTGTAATTCAGAACCGTAAACTGAATTTCAGAAACCATCAGATGTAATTCAGATTAATTAATTTAACTTCAGAAAGCGTAAATAGAAATTCAGATTAGTCAATTGTATTTCAGAGTTTGTCATTTGTAATTCAGAATTTGTTATTTTCATTTAAAATTTATATTACCAAAATTCCTTTGAAAATTAAAAATCTTATTTATTTTGCAAAATGGCAAGTTTATGCAATTCTTTAATTCTGAAAATAAAATAATTCGTGTTTATGTGTAAACTTCATTTTGAGATAACAGTAAGTTACTCATCTGAATTACAATTGTTTTTTCTGGATTACATGTAACATGAAATTGAATTTATTTACTGTTCTGAATTACATGTAATGCTTTCTGAAATTAAATTAACTAATCTGAATTACATCTCATGGTTTCTGAAACTCAGTTTACTCTCCTGAATTACAATTAACATTTTCTGAAAGACAATTGACTAATCTAAATTTCAATTTACGCTTTCTGAAACTTAATTGACTAATCTGAATTACATGTGATGGTTTCTGAATTACACTTGAAAAGGGTACCATCTGATTCGAAAAATGTCGTAATTGTCGGGGGCTTCGCCCCCCAAGTATCACTATCTGATTCTTCTTATAGGAATAACTAACCGGAATTTTTGCTTATTTTTTTTTAAATAAAAGATATGTGTTATATGCAGGTCTCAATTTTTGCTTTTTCCAAAAAAGGTAGTTATTAAATTTTTATCGAATTAGATTAGATTTATCGTTAATTTTTTTAAAATTCAACCCCTATCAAATAATGTAAATAAGTAATACGCAAAATATATCTTCAAAATATTGAAAAATGTAAAAATACCAGCGAATCGGATTAATAATTTTTAAAACTTTTATCTCTTACTTTATCGTTGAGGTTTTAACACAATTTTTACATCAGTAGGTACCTTTCTAAGGTAATAAATAAAATTAAAAATAATTATCAAAAATGTAGTAACTACATTTTTTTTGCTCATGTCGATTTTGTCAGATAAAAATCTTTATTTTTATAACAGGCAACAGACGACGTTATCATGACATTTTTAAGAATTGTGAATGAAAAAACAAATTTTTGACGTAATCAATTGTACAAAAACTTGTAAATTAGTTTCCTGCTTATTGTCAATATGTCAATAAATTGCACTAAATCTAATGATTACTTAATTTTGTCCGACAATAATAAATTTTAGAAAAAAATATTTTGTTTTGTAGTAGTTCATAAAAGTAAGGTAATTGGGTGAAAATTAGTTCAGGTGGGTGGGAAACACGGGATGTTTGTCAGAAGAGAAAGAAGTCATAATTTGCAAAAAATGTAGTTATTATTGTCACAACTGAAATATGGTTTTACAACAATCAAAACGTTTTAAAAATTATATTATTAATGTAATAATAATTGCATATTTGATAAACAAACAATACAAAGACAATAATTATAATACAGTGCGATCAAAAAGTCTTTCTATCACGTAGGCGTCCTAATTGAGGACGTATGTCGCATGGCATTTCGTATGTTAGCTAGATGTCAAAAAATTATTTAATAATTTAATGTTTTCAAAAATTTTTCCAACATTAATATTGGAGCAGAAATCTAAAAAAAATTTTAAAGAAAATTGGCAAAATTAACAAAAAATAAATGTTTATGTAGTTATAAAATACGATTTGATTGACGTGTTTTATGAAATACACTTCTCTTGGCATTTTGTCAATTTTAATATTATTTTGACAAATTGCTTCATAATAATTTCTGAATTTAGCAAAATTTCTAATTTAATATTAAAATTAAAAACAACACGAATTTTATAGTCTCTTAAAAATCTCGTCAATGTCACCAACTGTCAGAAGTGTCAGATTGAATGATTGAAATCTAACGCACTCTTGGTTAAGGTTTTTTTAAACTCAAAATTTATGCACTTTTAGGCCTTTATTTCTCTATAAGACTCTACTACTTTGTAGAATTATGATTGAATTTTTGTTTTTCACTTTCACTCAATATCTACCTTTTGCCGTTTTCTACTTTAGTACTTTTAATTTTCCAACAGAAAAAACAATTGCGCGAGAGAGATGGTTGAATTAATTTTTACACGGGATGAGAGCGTTGGAGCTATTTTAGTAAGGTATAACTATTGCCATTCCGTCAGTTTTTATAATGTTTTTTCTGTATGAATTAAGGGAAGTTATCGGCTCCTAATCTGTCAGTAGGGACAGTAGGGTTCATTTGTTGTAACACAGACTTCTTTTTACATAGAAATAATATTTTTGTGACATAACCTCAAAAAATGCAGTTGCCATGTTGCAGTGCGGCAATAGATGAGTCCCGAGGTAACAGGTGCCTCAGCGAGTTCATAAACTCCATTATTGACCTTCAAATGTTAATTTTTTTTTTTAATTTATTAATCTAGGGCGTCGTCTGAAATTATTTTCAACTATACAGGTGTTTTAAAAATAGGTTACATACAAATACAATTTTGTGTTTTTTTTTTTAATGAAACACCACATGTTTATTAGCATTTTTGGATGTAGCTTTTTATTACAATGTTTTTAAGGTAAACTTTTATTGGTCGATTTTGTTTAGTTGTTTTCTTTTTGAGAAAACATACTTTTTTGTAAAATTTATTACACAAAAACT